GACAATCCCCTAAAAGTAGAAAAATTTCAAAGTTATCTGTAATACAAATGTGAGCATTCTAAAATGCACTGAAATTAAAATGCTCACATTTGTATTACAGATAACTTTGAAATTTTTCTACTTTTAGGGGATTGTCATCCAAACATTTCTCTACAAAATGAGACGTTCCACGACTCTGAGTAATTCTTTATAAGCGACTTATAACTAGGCATGGGCGAGTCCGAGGGGGCACCGAGTCCGAGCCGAGTCCATTACGAGTCCGGTATTTTATTAGATTCTTTATTTACGAGGATGGTTCATTTCTCTTTTTAAACTTACTGAGCCCTGGATAGATATTTAATTTTTAGAAAAAATAAGGTTACTTTGCATGCGCGTTTCCCGAACAAAATTTTCAATTTTTGTGAAACAGAAGGTGTTGGTATTCTGCTTTTCATTTTTCTCTGTTCATTTGTGTTAAAAGTTGAATAAAAAACTCAGAGTCCTTCAAAACACTCCTTCAAAAAAATCTCTGGTCCGAGTCCACCAAAAAATCTTCCAGTCCGGACTCGGACTCGCCCTCGCTATTATTCATACAACGTCAATTAAAGTGTAGTATAAATACTAGAAAGATTAGTACTTTTTGCGGTGTGAAAGTTTTATCATATAAACGATGCATGTTAAATGTGTTGGATGTTGTCGAAACTTAGACGATAATCATTATAATAGAATTTCTTGTAAACTCTTGCAATTATTTATTTCTTCTCGGACGTTAAAATGAATATATGTTTGGGTGATTGTATTTGCAAAAGCTATCGGTCTAAGTATGATAGATGGGTAAAGAAGATCAAGAATGACTTTAAGAGTTTCATTAGCTGGAGGTGCTGATCAGTTTTTAACTGGTGCATGCCTAGACAGCAAATCACTCGCAAAGCAACGATATTACTTCTTGATATTATTCATACAACGTCAGTTAAAACAAGTTTAATATCAAGAATGAAAAATCAGCTACAGAGTATGCTAATTAATCAAAATGAATTGCCTCATTAGCATAACGTGCATATACAAGATGATATGAGTCTTTGAAATTAGACATATGCCGGATAATCTGGTGTTGTCTTGCATAGTTTTCACAATTTTCAGATGATTGTTTTCGCATTCGATAGAGGAGATGTTTATGTAAGCCATAAGCAGAAGATTTTTATAAAAATTGTCTGTCTCTAGTTATCATACTTAATTTAAATTTAATTTCGTCCACAAAATATATTCAAATTAATATCCCATGTAGCGTGAAGCCAGTATGATAGCTTATCACACCGGTAATAATGTGTTAATTTTCACGTGTGCATTAGAGTTCAGGATTCTGAGGAAGTTTGTCATTTGGCATAATACTAAATTCGGCCCCCGTGAGAAATGGTAGACGTTTGTCTCTGGGAAGCCCGTGTATTTCAATGGAATGTCTCTGTTTATCCAGAAGAAATTACACGAGTGTCTCTATTTTCCCAAAGCATAAAACAGGAAAAAAGAGAATTTCTAGTCCTGTTTATTGTATGCTAATTAGCTTAATGCATTTAAATAATAATGAGCTTAAAACTATATGGTAGAGAGAGGAAGATCTAGGCTATACAATGAAGTATTTTTGAACTAATTGTCTTTTAAGCTTACTTAACCAGCAATTGTACATTAAAACTCCATGTATTTGAATGGTGTGTCTCTATAAACCCGGTACGGGCTAATTAGAGACAGTCTGATAGAGCTCTTCGGCAACTGGTTGGCAGCATAATGGTTTTTTCAAATCTGTTCATTATATCTGAATGAGTGGAAATTGAGTAAAACCGTATGTTAAAAAAGAAAGTTAAAAAGATATTTTTTGAACACATGCTAACTAATGATTATGTGTAACACACGACATAGAAGACATGAAAAAACATCGAAGAAGGTGATAAAGAATCACTTTACAATTTACAATAATAATCCATTCTGTTAGGACTTACTTTCTATAAAAGTAATTAGCAACTTTTAACACTCAGAAGATCATACTTAATCTTGATTGAAAAATCGATTGGAAATAGTTTGACGACAAAAAAAAGATTATTTAGAGCATTTTCGTGTTTTAGTCATTTACAGCTAGGGCTATTGTGGGACCAGGAAGTCGAAAGTACCTTTAGTTTCCATTATATCTGAGTTACTCTCTAATTACTTACTAACGTGTCCTCTGTATAGCAGATTGATTTACTTTGTTTTCATGCAAAAATGGTTTTTCTCACTGTACAGAAAAAAGTAGACAGACAGTTGCAGCTCTAATTTGAATGTAGTAGGATTTGAATGTGGTTTGGTGACCGAACATGTTGCAGTTCGGTAACAAACCGTTCGGTGCCGATCAGCGATTCCTAGTTTGGGATTGTTGCATGCCTAGTTATAACCGACGGTTATTAACCGACCGTAGGTTTGAGAAAAACGCTGTCTAAAAGGAAACAAAATACTTTAAAATTAACTATTATATATCATCTTGTAGAGAAATGTTTTCTCTACAAAACTGCCGTTTTAGAAAAATGTTGCAAATCGTTTTTATGAAAATACAAAACATTTATTGTGAATTTTTGAAAAATACGAAAAAATAACCGATGCACTCCTACATTCTAGACCTTATAGCGTTTGGGCGTGCATTCTGAGACAGACAGAATGACAAACATTGAGGAATATAGTATAGATATATATATGTGGAACGGTAAAACAGAAAAACTTAAATCTTAAATGTTCAGAAGCATTTCTATTTGAAACCAATATGATATTCGAAATCTACGAGAAAAATTGCATCGAACAATATATAACTCAACTCGTTTTGAAAAAACATTTTCGACCTAAATTTTAGGCAAAGCAAAAATTTCGAGGGAAATTTTTTGTTTGCCTTCCGCGTCAAACTTAGGTGAATACCGTTTTTCAACGTGCACAATCCGAATATCGCGGTCTCCCGACTTCAATCTCGGCGAACAGCAAGTAGGTAGATTCCATATGGGTATAAATAATATATTCTTCACTAAAATATGTTCTTTGCAAAAATTTCAGAAATCCTCATGTTGTACAACTGAGAAAGCTATTTTGTACTTAATTTTTAAGATGTAAAAAATTTAATCATACATCATCCTCTCGAACTGCGGGAAGCCATGTCGTGGTTCTCGTGGAGCGGTTCCTAAGTATATGTGTCGGATTTTGTTAAACCATTGACTCTGATACGAAATCGAAACATATGTTTAACTCTTGACCTTTCGCATTACAAATTTATTTTTTCATCCTTCTTTATCTCGTATATGCGACATGTGCACAAGCGGTAGTTGTCAAGATAAAACAATTTACCTTTGTATTTAGTTCGTTTCTTTATGATGATATTTATAGTAGTGAAAAAAATGGAGCAAAGTCGACTACCGTTATACGTTTCTCTCATTTTAAGTGGACTCACAGTTTTATTTACAATTATCAGTTTATCAACAGCATCATGGGGTATATTACGACATGAGGGGGTTGAAGTTGGGAGTACCGGTTTATTTCGATCTTGTCTAACACTAGCTGGTATCAATATTTGTGGATCACATTCAATATTGAATCCACCCGCTGGCCTCATCATAGTCGGATTTTTATTAGTTTGTTTAGCACTTACCATTATTGGCATTATTTTATGTCGTGGCAACATATTTGCTTGCAATCTGTTACTCATGCCTACATTCTTCTTTGCTACATTATTTCTTCTTTGTGGTTTAGTGACATCATGGAAGGCAGTTTTATTGGCGGCCGAAACACAAGATAAACTTGAGACAGTTATTGTTCCTGGTTCAAGTTACAATTTGATGGTAACGTCAACAGTTTTTCTGTTTATTGTAACTGTTATAGCGGCATACTCTTATGGTGCACACTCTAGTACAAGCAATGCCGGCAGTGCACCAATTAGTAATCCTAGTGTGACTACTTAGTAGCAATCAATGTATTCGATAGCAATGTGCTTCAAGTCCATCTATTCGAATAAATAATATATAGAACAAATTTACTTTTTTTCGTCGATAATAGAATAACATTGATTAGTCATTGTGTGCAATGTCCAACAATGATAAGAAATTAAAAAAATACTTACCACGTTTTTCATGATAGATAAGAAACATCATTCACCTTTTCAAAGAATAACTTTCAGAAGAATAATTGATTACAGTTCTACGTCGCACACTTTTGTACTTACGTGTACGGAGACATACATAAAAAGCAATTTCCTTATGTCCATACTTCACTATGCGCGACGCATATGGATTGAAAGCATTTTTGATATTGAAGATGGACGTCTTAGTTCTTAAATAAAATATGTCTTTTTCTCATTAAAATAAATCCAAAACGCTGGTTCGATGAAAACTAAATTGAAGACCTATTTCAAGAAAAATGTTTCAACCACCATTTATAGAACAGAATCCTTGTAGAAACTCCTCATGAGAGAACCCTTCAATGTGACCTCCTCTATATCGCTCATCGACAGAACACATGTGCTACTCCAATTCGGTTGATATTCTGGGGATAGATAATTTCGACCATGAATAGGAAGAGAAACCCGGCGTCAATCAGATCTAGTAGCTAGATGGTTCTAGTTCTCCAGAAATTTAAACATCCAGAAAGAAAAACTGTAAATAAGTTCTTTAAAAAGCCGAAGAACCGACAATTACCTTCTCACTTCCAGTTTCAGTGAGATCACATATTACCATAGAAAATTAAAACACGCTCATTCAGCTCAGGACAAAGTTTCTAATCCTTAAAGTCAAGCACACGCATGATCCTCACAATTCTCTGGCACAGGCTTTCTTTCCGTTATGTAGATAATATTTTCTTTTTGAGTGAGTGAGACTTTGCTCTATTTCGCTCTTCCTTTTTTGTTTATAAGATGCATGGCATGCAAGGTTACAGTAAAACATAGAAATGCCTATTTAATATACCATTCGATAGAGAATCCAATGACGAGCATGAATATTACTTCCCCGGCTCTCCAAACTCTTTTCTCGCTGAGCTATCCTCAAAATACTGAGGAGGACTCAAAACATCTAAAAATAACCGTTTTCAGAAAAAGCCGTGTAGTTTCGTCAGAAAGCGTTGTACAGCTTTGATATTAGCATATTCAGATTCAGCATCAAAAACTGAATCTATAGATGTACCTTCTGAAGCCGAAAAAGGAAAACTCGATTTTGGCAAAGCCCGAAACCAAAGTGACCAAACGGCACCAACCGTTTTTGTAAGTCTTTCAACTCCCTCTTCGGAGGTCCCACAGCCAATATGTTTACATGGCTCGATTCTCTGTCTCCTCCTCTTCAAAAGTATACGCGTAGATTTTTGAAATTATTTTTCTTCGCTGAGAAAAATCGTTTCTTTTAAATCAGAGGCGAAGAAGTCGGAATTCTCCTCCTAATTCTCAATTTTCTCGAACAGAACGTAACTTCTATGGAATAAAAATATCATATTTGGAATCAGGATCAAAAGATGAATCGACTGATATGTATCTCTATCCTATCCGAATTTTCACGTTGAAAGTCATGAGATTTTCATCAGAAATTAAAAATGAACAAAAAATTTCGAAATACATATCGGTCGATTTGTCTTTTGATCCTGATTCCAAATATGATATTTTATTCCATAGAAGTTGCGTTCTGTTGGAGAAAATTGAGAATTTCGAGGAGAATTCTGGCTTCTTCACCTCTGATTTAGAAAAACGATTTTTCTCAGCGAAGGAAAATAATTTCAAAAATCTACGCGCATACTTTCGAAGAGGAGGCTTCAGAAGGTACATCTATAGATTCAGTTTTTGATGCTGAATCTGAATATGCTAATATCAAAGCTGTACAACGCTTTCTGACGAAACTACACGGCTTTTTCTGAAAACGGTTATTTT